TAGACAGAGATTTCCTACTTTAAAGTGAAAATGGGCTCTCAGGGAATAAGTCAAAGGCCACAATACGTGTCAACTCCAGCAGGCAAATTTAAGACTCACAGAGTTTGAGTTACCCAACAAAAACCAGAAACAAAACCAACAATTAGTTAAGGGCTCCAGATGGCTTCTGGAGATTATGAAAGCCAAAACAGAAGCGATGTGATACTCCTACAACCAGCACCTACCCAGAGAGGTGAATGGAAGCACCCACGTAACATGCTGGAATCTCACACTCATCTACTCTGTCTGAATCATGATAATCCAGAAACCCACGTGTTTTGAAGATACTAGTCTGTTTGGTATTTTCAGAGCAAGTAAATGCACAGTAGTCCCCCCTTATCTGTGGGGGATTTGTGACAAGATCCCCAATATATACTAGAAACCACCGATAGTACTGAGCTCTAAATAGACCATGTTTTAGGCTGGCTCGTGGCTCACTCGGTAGAGTGCGGTGCTGATAACACCAAGGCCACGGGTTCGGATCCCATATAGGGATGACCGGTTTGCTCACTGGCTGAGCGTGGTGCTGACAACACCAAGCCAAGGGTTGAGATCCCCTTACCAGTCATCTTTAAAAAAAAAAAAAAAAAAAAAAAGACCATGTTTTATCTTATACGTATATACCTATGATAAAGTTTAATTTATAAATTAGGTACAGTAAGAGATTACCAACAAGAACTAATAATAAAATAGGACAATTATAATAAGATGCCAGCATCACTCTTGCACTTCGGGGCTATTATTAAGTGAAATAAAGGTTCCTTGAACACAAACACTGTGATACTGTGACAATGGATCTGACGGGTGAGAGCATCTGCAGCGTGGAGACCCTGGACAAATAGATGATTCATGTCCCATGCGGGACAGCACAAAACTTCATCATGATACTCAGAACGGCATGCAATTTAACATTTACAAATTGTTTATTTCTGGAATTTTCCATTTAGTATTTTTGGACCACAGGTAACTAAAACTGTGGAAAGCAAAACCATAGATTAGGGGGGAATACTGTATTGGGACAGTTGGTGATATCTGAATAAAATCTGTAGGTTGGACAACAGTATTATTGCAATGCTCATTTCCTCATCTTACTAATTATACTGGTTACATCAGAGAATGCCCTCGTTTTTAGGAAATATACGCCAAAGTATTTAGTAATGTAACATCTGCAACTTACTCTCAAGAGTTCCAAAAAAAATCTATTTGTGTGTCTATTTATCTATCTGTTTGTCTATCTATCTGTCTATATGTCTGTCTGTATTTTCCAAAAGAGTGAGAAGGATGTATAAAGCAGTAGGCTAGCAGGAGGCTGGCAGGCTCTGGCTAAAGAGAATGATGTGCAGAGGTGGAATACTATTAACTCCTAAGATCGTTATCATCAGGGCCACTTGAAACTTTCAGAAATTATATTACAAAGAGAGAAACAAAGTGCACAGTATGAGTGGTATTAATATGAGGTATGATATGGTAATATCTCAGTTTCAAAAAAGGACAGAAGGGAATGCATTGTGGAGCACTTAAAAACAAGATCTGTTTGGTGGAGAGGAACATGGACCGAGCTCTCGGACATCCGCTGGCCGCACGTTTTGGGCAGCATAAGCCATCAGTGCTCACATGTATGCTCATAGCTGGCCACGTTAGTTGTTCCTCAGGTCCTGGGCAGCTCATACATGACTCATCCTAAAACACAGGATGTTCGTGGTCAAGGCATGGGAAGATATTTCATGCAGGAGTCCACTGGATCTAGTTTGAACCTACTTGATATTTTTCAAAAAGTAGAGAGTGGGTTGATGGTAAGTTTTTTGTGGGGTTTTTGGGGGGCAATTAGGTTCAAGGTAACATTTGCCTACTGCCCACATTCAGAAATTGATTTTTGCAGCCTGGGCCTGCTGGGATCAGGTCCTGCTATGGATGACAAGGGGCTGGGTGGCTGGATGCCTCCGACAGCCCCCTCCACCCTTGCCAAGGCTCTGGCTTTCTGATTCCTGCGACAGCTACCCTCTTTGTCTTGAGAAGGTCTCCGGCTCTGCCTCTGCCTGGCTTTCCAAGCCTCCACTCCCCTGGGGGCCCGCTTCATCCTCTCTGCCTTGCCCCTTCAGGCGGGCTGTGCATTCGGATGGGGTGTTGGCTCTCAAGCCACACCGGACAACTTGCTGCCTCCTGAGATTGGTGCAAGAAGGATTTAGGGAGGGCCTGAAATGTGCCAGAAACTGATGTAGACTGCTAGGAGTTTAGTGGGACATAGACATGCAGATGGATAAATACAACATGGCGTGTGAGGAATGCAGACCACCCACATGGACGCTCTTGGGGTAGTGGCTTTGGTCTGGGCAGTTGTGTCCTGCTGCTCGGGACAAAGGAAGGTCAGATTAGGGCAAGAGGCCCTGGCCTGGGCTCAGGAGGTGCAGCAGTGGAGGGCTCAGTGGGGGATCAGTCCCAGGAGGTTTTCCTCCAGCGCACTTGGGAGAAGCAAGGCAAGGGCTCCAGCCCAAAGGACTCAGTCGCCTTGAAGCCCCTCTCCCCTCAGCTGCTTCTTTCTCCCCTCCAATGCTAAGAAAGCAGAAACAGCACATAGAGACCCTTCTGTGGCAACGAGAACGGCCAGACTCTGCCAGGACTCTCCTCTCGGTATCCTCCCAGCCCCCGGTCTGCCGTCCTGCCACTAAACCCACCCACATGCCACTGAAATGCCTTCAGGGGTGACTCACTGCATCCTACAAGTCATATGGCTTCTGAGCCACAGTCTAATCTCTGGGGACAAGTGTTGTACCTTTTTCAACCCTGTGTCCCTTCCTTGACCCTGCAGGATAACAATTTAAAGAGCGCTTACTACTTGCCAGGCGCTATGTAACCTCATAGTGTCCTCATGACACCCCTGTGAGGGCAGTTCCATCATCTCCATTTTATAGATGAGGAACTGAGTCACACAGAGACTAAGGGACTTGTCTGTGGTCACACAATAGGTAGAGAAAGCAGGATTCAAATCCACGCAGGCCAACCCCAGGGCCGGTGCCCTTAAGCACTGAGCTATCCTGTCTGTAAAACAAGCTTCTCACAAAAATTTATTGTTAAGAACAGATCAGACAAATGTGTGGGTGCACATTGCTGGCTTCCTTGGGCTAGCCCTTGAAATTTAGGGTTCACATTGGGGTTCACCTGCTCAGAAATCAGTTCTCAGAGAGTCCAACTCAACCTAATTTTATCCCCAAAGATATTTCTGCCAGCCACGTCCGCTCACTCTTCTAGAAAAATGCAAACCACATTTTACTTAAAGGCCTGACACTGCTAAATACCTCTAAATTACAGTTAATCACTCTGTATCTCAGAACTAAATCCATATTCTTCTTGATGGCGGTTATAGCATGTTTAACAAGTTATTAGTTTTGGAAACAAGACAGCTGATATTACAGGGAACAGAATTAATCAGAGGTTTTTGGCAGCCCTTCATCATGATTGAGATGATAAACAAACCCCTCTGTCCTCTAAAACCCAAACCCACTTCACTCCTAAATCCTTTTACAGCTGTTTTCAACATTTTTCTTTTTTATTTATTTTTTTTGGTGGCACCTGGCTGGTATGGGGATCTGAACCTGTGACCTTGCTGTTACAAGGCTACGCTCTAACCAAGTGAGCTAACCGGCCAGCCCCTCAGCGTTCTGCTTATACAACTGTGACAGTCAAATCATCAAAATGTCTCAATGGACACACAAATATATGCATGTGTGTAAATACACACACACACATATCTCTCTATTATCTATCTATTTATCTATCTAAAGTTGGCACGGAGAGGGCATTCCCAGGGCAGCACCAGTTGGGCAATCTCTTGCCTGGATCCCATACTGTCACTTTTCAGGTTTTATCAGCCCTACAAAAATAAACAACACACCATTCCACAGTCCCAGTTAATTTTTCTGCCTGGCTCTGCCTTCTTCCCAGAAGTAAATAATATTAAAAACAAGAATGAGAATCAGCCCCTCTGGACAGGGCCCATCCTCAGCACACATCAGAAACATCCCGGTTCAAGACCACCTGTCACAAGTCCTTCATATACCTCAATTCATAAATGAGCCCCAGGAACTGCCACTCTGGACTCACTTTGTACCTTTTATCTCAAAGTCCACAGTTCTCCCTTCAGGGCCAGGACTAGGGTGAGGCGAGCCAGACACCCAGGAGCAAACTTTAAGGAGGTGCTCATTCTCAGGGGCTAAGCTTGTACAGTGGTGCCTCCTTAAATTTTGCACCCTGCCACTTCGCCTCGTCTTAGTCCTGGCCCTGACTCCTTTCCTCTAGGTTCACGGCACCTCAGTTACATTTGTGGAATGATGCCCAACCTAATTCTCATCAACCTACCTGGGGTTCAGTAGAGTCCAGAGCAAAAGCTCTGCGTTCTGAGCTTGCTCTACTCCTGACAAGCTGTGTGATGTTAGTTAGTCTAGTTCCATAACCTCTCTGAATCTTCCGGTTTCTCATCAGCAAAGGAAGATAATTCCTGCCTCCCCACAGGTTTATAATAAGGATTAACTGAGATTGCGTAGTGGCAGGTTTAGAGCAGGGCTTGGCATGCAGAGTTGCCCATGGCAGGGAGTGCTCAGCTGAAAACAGTGTTAGTTAGCATCACTGCTGATGGTGCTGGTGACATCCTGACTCATATTGCAAGGTCAAGATGTGAGATCTGAAAGGTGACCTTCCAATGCCTTCATTGAAAACAACTTATCACCTTGAATGTAAGATCACGTGTGTTTGTTATGGTGCTGAAGTGGAGCTGCGTGTCAAGCGTCCACCAACGAGCCTGTCTTACTGCACAGCCACCTGCTTCCTGAAACTCAAACAGTGTCCAGAGTCCAAGGGTTCTAGAAGCCACAGATGAGAAACAGAAGGGAACCTCACCCCAAACAGACTATCCAGGAAAGAAAGAAGGTGCTGGAGGATGAGGGGAAAGGAAAGTGGGGCTCACTTACTGCTTTCATTTTGTGGATGTTGAACCAAAACTTGAAACTGCAGCCGGAGAATTCCTGGATTTTGGGCATCTTGGTCACAGCCCTGCAGGGAGAGGTTGAAGTTCCCGGCCATGTTCCCGGGCTGCTTATCCTCCAGCCTGAACACCTCGGGGTTGGTGGTGGAGCCTGGGATGTAGTACTCAACCCGCTCCTCCTTCTTCTCGCAGTTGGAGACATTGAAGTTGAGGAAGGAGACGCTCGCACGCAGGTGTGCAGGGACAACAAACTGCCAGGTCATGAGCTCATCCTCAGGGAAGCCTTCTGGGTAGTTGGCAGACATCAGGGTTGCAGAGCCCTCACCCTCAAACACAGATTCGATGATGCACAGTCCTATTGGGAGTGGAGCCCAAACCAGAAGGAATAGGAGGTGGTTAGACCCTGTCCTGGTTGTCTGTGGCTGAGGGGCAGGTGTGTTAGAGAAAATACGTTTGCAGTTCCCATGTCTTGAGCAGTGGGTTCATGAACATGGTACGTTTACAGTCAAGGCAGAGACTGGAAATGAAGATACAGCAGTGGTGTGCGAGTGAATGTTTAATAAATCACCTCAAGGAGAAAAAAGCCCTAATGTGTAGTGTCTGCCCATTTCCTTGGTGTGAATACTCCCACCATGGCTGATTTCAAGCTACCAACACATAGTGACTGAATGTGAAGTTGGGCAGCAGCACACAGATATATATTGTATCTCCACCATATAGATACAATAGACATAAGTAACCTCAAGAGCATAGGTAAGAGTGAAATGTAGTAAAACAATTAGGAAGTGATGAATTTTGAGTATCTATTACATTTGTTTCTAAGGTAATTTAATTAAAAGTTTATTTAATTTTATTTTTAATAACAGCTCCAAAAATTCCTGGACATTTAACAATCAGCTCTCATGAGCCGGTGTGATCCAGCACCGTCACACCACAGATACAGTCAGAAAAAAATGTGAAAGATAGAAGACAGGGCAAAGAAGTCAGAAACCGAGCCATCAAGGTGGGTCTGTAGAACCAATCCCATGTCATTTGTTAAAAACAAATGTCACAAGCACAAAGAACAAAGAGAAGACAGCTATGCCCTGTTTGTTTATTAATAGAGAAGGAGGGGTTCACTTCACTACTGTGGATCAGTAGGAATGACTGACCCACATCACTTACAGAAGAGTGGGATCTTCCTTTAAGTTAGTTAGGTTGAATCATATAGAACTGCTGACACTTGACCATTTCTGACCTAGAACAATGATGATTTTGCCTGTTTCAACCTAATCCAACATTGGGGAGGGGAGGGACATGCTCACGTTTTATAGAAGAGTGGTTTGCAATGCTGAAGCCAGAGACGTTTCTGGAGTGGAACCACGGTAGGTGTAAGGCCATTTTCACTCCCTCTTGCACCTTGATCCGGGACACAGTGCCATTGCTGCAGAAGGTGCCGATCCTGACCACGGTGGCATCGATGCGACCGCTGATGGAGTGAGTGACTCCATCTGGGCAGCTCTCGCCCGGCCCGATCTGCCTCAGGCGAGGAATGGAGAACTGCAGCTCTAGACCGATGCTCTTACGAGCTTTGACATCCCAGATGTAAGTTCTGTTCAGGGTGGGCAACACCGACGTCGAGGGCTGAAGCTGGACCTCCCCAAAAGGACACGGGCCTGACATGCAGTCTGAAACACAGGCACAAAAGCAATTTTGATCACAGATGCCACAAGGACACACACTGCTCCTCCTCAGACCCCTGTAGTAGATCTCTCGGGCTCTGCCCAGGTGGCCTGCGCCAGATGGGTGTGCCCTTCCCCCAGCTGCTGTGAGTCTTGGTGGCCAATGGCTCACAGACGCACCCTCCTCTGGAGAAGCACCTCAGCTGTGGGGAGCCACCTTGGACCAGAAAAGCCTGAAAGGTTTTTACTGCCCATCACTCCCATCCCAAGGGAGTGGCAGCCGATAGCCAATAACTGCCCAATGCAGGAGCAAAAAAGTCTGACCTCCTTGCTTCAAGTGGCATGGCCAGGGGACGCCATTCTTACTCCAAAGCTCCTGTGGGATCAGGCAGAGGCTCAACTGCAGCCACGACCATGCCAGTGCTGAACTTCTCCCTGCTCTATCCTGCTTTCCTCTCTTCTCCAGGTTTCTTCTGAGGGCACTCTCTTGATAACTGACTGGGACAAAATTCCCTGTTGCAGGCTCTGCTACAGGGCACCAGACCCAAGACACTACCTCACTACTGTGTTTAAGTTCCTGGAGTCTAGTTTGTGGGCCTCAGACCAGGCCTTCCTGGAAACCAGAGGGAGGCCATCTGCAATGGAGTCTGGGCTTTAGGACATCCTACTTCCATTATTCTGAGAGAATCACAGTTTCACAATTTTTAGGGCACAGTGCCAAGATCCACCTTTTAAAACTGGTTTTCCCATCAACATACTGAGTACCCTCTGAGTGTAAAATGCCCCTGGATGCGGAACCCGAGAGCATGGTTATCTTCCTGCCTCGTGGCATTAATGCTGGTATTTTATTACTACTGCAGTTGACTTTTGTTTTTTTAAGGCTACCAACTAATAGCATCCTTTAATGTACTTTGTTTCCTAAACCTTTTAAAACAAAGCAAGAAATGTTACTATCAAGGAGGAAATAAGAGGAAAGCACATGGAAGAAATAATAGAAGGCAGGCAACATAACATTAAGGTTTTTGTTGTCTTGAGCACGTGGGATCTGAAAGGTGTGATGGACTCTGGCCTCTGTGACAACAATCTGCAAATCTTTACTACTGCTCTATGGGGGTATTGAAAGTACTGTCAACTTGATGTGGAATGATGGGAGAATTTCAGAGCTGTCTAGGACTTCTGAGGTCGCCCATGACAAACCTCTCATTTTTGCAAAGCAGCCTTGGAGTCCAGGTGACTCCCACCAGCACTGAGAGTACATAGCAAGTCCAAGACAAAAGCCCAGGTTGTGTTTGGTCAACCCGTGTTCTTGCCAATGCACTGCACTGCCTAATCAACAAAACAGGATTAGATAACATGGTGACTAATGCAGCTAAAATTAGACCATGCGTGTTGGTGAAGATAGTACCTATTTTAGCTCAAGGAAACTGCACTGTTTTTATCAAGCCACCTCTTTCCTTGAGTAGCTTTCCACCCATACCTCCAAGGAGCCCAGGGCAACATGGATGGGCTCCTGCTGGGTTCTATACTCTTGTGGGACCTCCTGACCGTATAAGGCAGTGGTTCTCAGCCCTAGTTCCACTTTAGATTCACCTGGAGGACATTTTTAAAACACACATGCCTGGGCCATCCGAGGGATTCTCATTTAATTTCATACCAAGAACCTGAAGTCAAGAAGCCCCAGTCTCAGCCTCAGCTCTGCCACCAGCCATGTGACACTGGGAGAATCAGGTTGTGAAAACAATTTTTCATTTGTTGTTAAGAGCATTGGTTTTTAGGATGGACACACAGGTAAGAGTATTCAAAATGATTGGCATGCCTCCAAATCTTCTCTCCCACCCTGTCCAGCGCAAGAATTATTTAAATAACTAAAATAATTCCTATCCAGAGGATGGAGAAGCATCATTTCTTAAGTGATTCACAACTCGTTTTTCCCAGCAGATATCTACTTTCATTGACTTGCATGGAACTATTCAAGAAGGGATGAGAACAGAAATGTCAAACTTCATGTGAAAATTTCAGAATGCTTATTCAGGAAAGAAAATGAGGGGCAGGCAGACCACAGGACTTGATTCCAGTGTCTAGACTTATTATTTTAAAAATGGATATTTTCAAAAATTGTGAGCATGAAATTTTACTATACAGTAAACCATGTGAGCATCCTGGGATTGAGAGACGGATGCTTTCAAATGCTTGACTTGTGATATATGTCATTTGTTAGCTTTTTCCTTTTTCAGATGAAAGTCACTTTATTGGTTTAACTGATTATAAAAGTAACGCATGCTTGTGAAAACTAAAGGAAAGTACAGAAGAACGGAAAAATGAAAATGAATGTCACTTGTTCCTCTCCCCTCCCCTCTGTAGATAAGGTGGGCATTTTGGTGTTCATCCCTCCAGACTTTGGGCTCTGTATGATTATGTGTACATATTTATATGCACATATGTGTGTGTGCATGTGCGCCTATGTGTGTATTTAATAAATAGAATCAAACTATACAAACTGTTGTACTACTATAAGATACATTGTTTATAAGGGAACAAAACTATCTTGGACATCTTTCCATGTCAAATACACAGACTTATTTAATTCTTTTAGTAGCAACATACCGTTCCATTGGATTCTTAAGTATACCAATATTATCCTTAGCTCTGTAAATCTTCATTGAGATTTTAATTGTAATTAGCTTAATCTGATAAATTAACTTAGGGGTGAATTGACACTTTAAAAATACTAATTTTTTAAAATCAAGGAACATGGTATATCTCTTCATTTAGTTGTCTTCTCTTTTGTCTTTCAGCAAAATTTTATATTTTGCTTCATATATACTTTATGTATTTATTAAGATTATCCCTCAATATTTCATTAGAAATCCTAAAAGCTTGTGACCAATTGCATGCATCATGGGAATCCTTATGTCATACCCTGTTTTACTATAACGCTTCTGTCTGACTGTTAAATATGGTATTTGCTACCAGTTCTTGATAGATATACTTTACTGAATTAAAACATCCTTCTGGGGCCGGCCCGGTGGCGCACTGGATAGTGCGCCGCTTGGGAAGCGCGGCGGCGCTCCCGCTCGAGGGTTCGGATCCCACATACAGACCGGTTCCCGCTCACTGGCTGAGCGAGGCGCGGGAGCAACACCGAGGGTTGCAATCCCGTTGCTGGTCCCCGGTCCGGTACGGGGGCAACACTGAGGGTTGCGATCCGTTGCCGGACACAGAAAAAGACAAAAGACAAAAAAAAAAAATCCTTCTATTTCTGGTTTACTATGAGTATTTTATTAAAAACATTTAAAATCATTTATTAAGATGATATGTGGTTTTTTTCTCTCTAACCTAATAAGGCAAAGCATTACATTAATTGATTTGCCCATTTGTTTACATATTGTCTATGGCTGATTTCACTCTGTAACAGCAGAGCTAGCTGAGCAGCTGTAACAGAGACCAACTGGCCCACAGGTCTAAGAGACTTACTACCTGAACTTGGACAGAGGAAGTGTGCCAACGCTCCTCTAGAATGGTTTAAATATCATAGAAATGATCTGCTTCTTGAAGTTTTATTGAACTCATCTATAAAGCCATCACTCACCCAAACTCTGTTCTCTCTGTCTTTTTCCCATCTCCTCCTTGGTTATTTATTTATTCAGGTTTCTTACCTTTCTATGAGTTGATCTAGGCCATTACGTTTTCCTTAAAATATCATCCGTTTCATTCAGAATTTCACATTTACTATCATAACGTTGTACACACTCTCTTACAATTTTAGAAATAGTCTCTGTGTATATTGCTAAATCAACTTTTATACTCTTAATGCTGTATATTCTCTTTCTTTTTTCCCAGGGCACTAGTCAGAGATTTGTCTATTTAGTTAGTTTTTGTAGAGAACCAGGTCTTGGCTTTCGTCATCAAATGTAGTTTTTAAAACTTCTTTTTAATACCTCTATTTTTCCTTTTACTTATGAATTCCTTTCTCCTAAAGCGTGGCTTTGATTAGATCACAAATAGTGTTCTCATTGTTATTAAAATATCTATTAATTCCTATTTGGTATTCTCACCTTAAAATGATTGGAAAATTATAAAGGTAACTTTTTTCTGCCTGATTATTATTATTTCCTGTGTCAATCTCCTATCCCAAGCTCAAATTATGAATAATAATAATAATAATACCAAATGTCTATAGTGTATTGAATTCTTATGTGGCATACATTTTCAATCCATTATTTTATTTCATCCTCATAACAACCTATTGTTTGGTACAATGACCCTTACTTTACAGAGCAGAAAACTAAGTCACAAAGTAGTTAAATAACTCACATGAGGTCACACGATCAGGTCACACGAACAACAGCCCTGGAGCTTGAAGCCAAACTCGGTTCTATCGCTTTCCAAAGCTGCTGGTTTTTGTTTTCCCCCATTGTGATCCATGGGCCCACTTTTATCTCCTTAACCTTCCGATTCTCTTGTCTTCCAGTGCCCTTGACTTTTGCCCCACATCAGCCACACAGCACGTGAAACAGAGCATCACAGACCTGAAGATCCAGAGCTCCCGGGGCTCTGTGGTTCTCTGTGAAGAGACCCTGTGGCATGGTGGCTAAGCACGAAGACTCTAGAGCCACAGTGCCTGGGTTCCTCTCCTGGGCAAGCTCCTCTCTTTGTGAACTTATCACTGGTTTGTTTTGAAGATTAAACAAATTAACTCACATAGAACTATAACTGGCCACATAAGAGCTAAATTAAGAGTGCAAAGTTTCAGCTTAGATCTTCTCTCTCTAGCATTAGAGACTGGCTTAGCATGGGAAAGAGAGGCAGGGAGGTGCACAGACATTTAGAGACATGGTCGAACAGTTCACAAGTGCATACTCACCAATATTCTTCTGGATCTCTATGACAAAGTGATTCTCTGGACTCTCACAGCTAAAGGTAAAGACTACTTTTTCTCCAGGTTTGATGGACAACATGGTTATATGTCTTTTAGAAATGACAATGTAACAGGGTTTCACTGGCGAAGCTGATGTCCCTAGCTTTATGAGAACTATAATGCCGCATCCTTGGGGCAGAGCAATCTCAGCAGCTTCTGCAGGAAGGAAGAAAGAAAAATGAAGTGAGCAGGATGATTTAGGTCTGAAAGCCTGCTGTGGTCCCCCTCAGCTGGTTAAGGGAGGACACCCTCTCTGAAACCTTTGTTCCTTCCCCCCTGGTCTGAGAAGGGGGCGGGTGCCAAATGCCAATGCTGACCTTCCCCATGGGAAAGAACCAGGATGTTGGTGGCTGGGCACTAACACGAGTCCCTTGTTTGGCTTATTAACTTTTCTAAAAATTAAAAACACTATACCACATCCTAGATGGCTTGAACAGTATGTTTTCAGATGCCCCATCTGTGCAGTACTAAATAACCAGCAGGGAAACCGCCACACCTTTTCTCAACATGACTATAAAACAAAGTCCACACACAGAAACCATCCAACTAGAGTCACGTTTATCTGCAAAGAGCTGCTGTCTCCTGCCCTGGACACTTTATATGCCCTGCACATGCACACATGCAGTGGGGGCTCGGGAAATGTTTGCAGAAATAAGATGTAAGCATACTGTGTCAACGAACCTGGAAAGTTAGAGCGAAACACTGCTACTACTTCAGATTGGAGTTCGGCAAGAACGTCTGAGCAAACATCACCAAGCAAGCAAGATAGGGGCTGGTTATTAAACAGAGGTGCACACGCATGCCAGGGTGGGGCCGTGGTTCACAAACAGCCCAATCTTCTTCCTCTTTGTTTTGCTTTATTGATTTTTAAGTGTTTTCAGGCCAAAAAGGGAGAGTCACTTTTCTCCTCTGCAGCCAGTGCCTCTGCCTGGGCCCTAATGTGGGTTCTGGTTGTGAGTCTCCAGGCAGCTGTCGGGCTGGGAGCAGCGGATGATACGACAGTTGTCTGTAGGTGGGTCCTGCTGAGGGAACCCAGGGGCTCATAGACTCACGTGGCCAGAGTTGGTGCCTCTGTTGCACCATGTTCTGGCACAAAGAGCTGGTCAGGACCTGCTATGGTGCTTGATAAGCAGTTAGCAAGTGATTAGCAATTTAACCAAGAGCTTTTCTTTTCTTCCCAGCAATGCTTTCCCCCCTCCTTTTTAAAATACATATTTTTAAAGTCAACTTTGTTGAGGTATAATCTATACACATTAAAAAGTGCCCACCACCATGATCAAGACATAAAAACATTTTCATCACCTTCAGTAGTTCCCTGAAGCCCCTTCACAGTCAGCTTCCACTCCTGGTCCCAGAAAACTGTCTGTTAGTTTTGCCTAATCTAGACTTTCATATTAATGGAATCCCACAGTAAATTCTCTTCTGTGCAGGCTTCTTCTGCTCAGCGTGATTGTGAGATCTATTTGCATTGTTGCACGGATCAGTAGTTTCTTCCTCTCTATTGCTGACTAGTATTACCTTGTCCCAACAGAGCACGATTTATCTATCCATGCACCTGCTGAGTGACATCTGAGTTCTTTCCAGTTTAGATTAGGAGTTTCCAAATGGTCTGTGGAGAACTTTTAAAAAATGATAAAGTTCCAAGCCCCAGGAGGCCTAACATGGGACCTGGGACTCTATTGGAAATACTTTTCTTGGTCTATAGTAGGAGGTAGGGATCCACTTTTATTTATTTTTTCCATATGGAGAGCCAACTGTCCCAACTCTAATTATTGAAAATACCAATCTTTCCTTTATGAAATACTGATACTTCTGTTGTTTATATTTTTTATGTCTAGATAACCCAGATTTTCATGCAAACTCATTTTGCAAACAAGGAAGATGAAACCTTGTAAGGGTTAAATGACTCACTCCTGGTGAACTTTTAACTCTTACCATGTCTCTTTGCTCTGACTTTGAGATGACCAACCCAGCGTGTACTACTGCCCAGCCACAGTTTGTATCTATCCTTTGGTGACCCAGACCAGAAGGGCTTGTGTAATCCCCACCTGGCTTCCAGCTCAGAGTCTGGAGGCAACATTAAGCTAAAGACACATGCTCAGCAAAGCTCATCTTACACACCTTTGCATCAGGAGATGATTTATACTGTAGGCTGTTTCCTAGGGTCACAGCCAAGGACATGTCATTTACATGACTTCCATTTTTAACTGCCCCCCTCACCCTAAAAGATAAATAAGCCAGCTGGAGAGAGGGAGAGCAGGAGTGAGAAGATAACAGTTTGACCACGTACATACTTAAAATATGGACTCCCTTCCCTCCCACCCCCCAACTCCACCATTCCACAGGTCCTTATTTCATTGTGATAAAAGCAACAGAGATTGTAAGCTCATTCAATCACAAATGCTTGGAGTTTGAGAACGACATTTTGCTTGCATGTTTTTCCCTCTTCCCCACTCACACCATTAATCACACCTTGAAACTGGAAACACCGACACTGTGGGACAAAATCGCAGCCATCCCCCATCCCCCCCCACCCCTGTTGGGTCTGGCACATCTGAGCATTTGATGAATGTACTGTGATTTAAAGAAAATGGATGGTGTTTTCTTCTTCGACATTGCTTTTTTTTTTGTCTCCCAGGAATTTGGTATTTCATTGGTCTAATATTTTGGAAGACCTATTACCCACTTTCAGAGAAATGCAGACAGTGCTCCAGATATTGGTGTGATTTCGAGGTCTTACAGGCTCAGAGAAATCCAAGCCGACTTCCACTGCAGCAGTGCATGGGCCCCCAGGCTTGGAGCCTTCAGGAAAGCTTGCCAAAGCGCCAGGCTCGGGCTCCTGAGTCACAGCTCCCTTCCTCAGCTCTCCTGGCTCCCGGCCTCTCCATATTAGGGTGCCTTTGCTAGTTTCCGCCTCACCAGTGCCTTCTGAGGTGGGAATTTCCGATTGTTTTAATCACCGTTCATTATTCACCATGCATTAATCACTATCTCATAGGATATTATACAAACGTCCCTGTTACTACTTCTCCCTGCCATCATATTCTCTGCAGTTCTCAATCATAGCAAGGGAAACAAATGCAAGGAAGGGGATTCCACCTGATAAACACCAGGGAAGTCGTTTTCTTCCAGATTTGTCAAATACAGCTTAAAAGACTGACAAATATGATTTAAAAATTTTTAGATGGGTGATGACCAGTTGCATCCATTTCCTGAGGGACCCATCTCTCATTCACTATCTCTGTCTAATGAAGATGGACTGAGCAGCTCCCAGCCAGGGACTGGAATCAGCCTGGATATGAGGAGATACATATTAATACGCTCAGCGCCCTGGAGGAGCACGCAGGATGCCAAGGGAGACAGACGCGGAAACCAAGAAGTATATGTGAGTCAGAGTGGCTGATCAGTCACGGCTTGCACGGGAGTCAGAAGCGAAAGCAAGCTCATAAGGGGAAAGCCACTTATGGCCAAAATAGCCCTGTCCTCTCTTAGGAAGATGTCACATTGCAGACCAACATCCCTCTCTCAAATCTACCAGCTGGTGTTTCCCGTATCCATGGAACAGATTCCTGCTTCTCGGGTTGAGCACCAAATAAACCAGTGATTTGCTTTTAGGGGCCAGGTTTGCAAAATACATTTTATTAGAATGTGGGTGCTCACACCATGAGAACCCGAGGAAGTGACTCCAGCAGAAGTGACAGTGATTCACCCTCCACCTTACATCTACCCTGAGGGGACCCTCACACCATTTAAATTATTTCTCCCCACCTTTATTCCCTGAAGGGGAGCAGCTGTTGAACTCATGTAAGTTGAATGCACATTTGCCTGTCTGCCCTCCAGACCCCACCAGATAGTCAGCAGCTTGAGGGCGCCAAGGAAGTTCAAGGTACTCTGAAGACACTGAGGGTCAGCCATCAACCATCTAGGTGCAGTCAAGAACAGCTTCACAGAGGAGGCATGACTTGAGATGGGTCTTGAAAACTGAATAGGAGTTTGTCTGCCGGGGAGGTGAGATGGGCATCAGGAAGGACAGGTGGAAGGTGCAGCAGATGCCAAGACACAGAGGTGTGAAGATCACTGCTTTGTGGGAGTCACTCCAAGGAGTTTGGTTTGGGTGGGCAGAGGAGGATGGAGAAGGGGCAAGGGCTTGGTTGTTGGCCCTGGCGTTTGGGCTTCACTCAGTGGAACCAGCACATCTCAGCAGCTTTGTGCAGTGGTTAAGAGTGCAGATTCTAGAATCAGACTGCCTAGGATCTATTCTTGTCTCTACCACTCACTAGCTGTGTCTCCTTGGGCAAATTACTTAGCTTCTTTGTGTTTTACTTTTCTCATCAAACGGAGATAATAATGGAATTCTTGTAAGCCCTAAATGAGTTAAATACCTATAAAGTGCTTAGAGTGGTGCCAGGTAATCAATCAATAATAGCTGTTACTATTGTTGGTATTATTAATGGTAGCATATTACAACCACAAGTACTAGCGATGGGGCACCAGTGACGGGTGTTAAGCAGAAAACTCTAGCATCAGCTTGGCTCTGAGTCTAAAGCCTGGAGTTCTGGCTGGAAGGGTGGGGACCGGGTAAGGCAAGCAAGGCTTCTAGGGGGCAAATGTAAGGAGGCACTTACTTTCAGGGCTGTGCAAATGTGAGTGCCTCCTTAAGGCTTGCATGCCAAGCCTGCCTCACCCTTGCCCTGCTCACTGGCTATTTAGGCCCTGCTATACATGTTGACTCATGTGACTCCAGCACCCTGCTGAGACTCAGGAAAGTGACCTCACTTCCCCAAGTTTGCTGAGCTTAGGAGGCAGCTGGGACTTTCTGGTTCAACCTTAGCGCATCTGCCCTCCCCCCCGCCCCCAGGGTAGCACACCGAGCTGCCTTCATGGAAGCTGCCAGGCTGGTCAAGTCACCCAGCAGAAGGGAAGAACTACTGCCATTCTTAATAAGTGAATGGAGTTGTTGGCTGATACCAAGGGGCTGGGATCACCACCAGCACAACCCATTTTAACAGGGCCTGATGTGGGGAAGAGGTGCCAGACTGTCATGTCACGCAACCTGGAGTAGTACTGATCCAGTGGGCCTGAGACAGTGAAGCCTGAAGGCAGTGGAGGAACAACTGGTTTAGATGCCCTAAAGCCATCTGTCATTAACTTGGCCA